TTTCTTTTCATATCCAGAGAAATATTCTGCCTTTTCAATATTTCCTAGAATATTTCATTTTTCTAGGAGAGGACTGGATGATAACTTCCCACAAGATAAAGAGATAGTGAGCTCTATTCATAGGCAAAACATTCCTTGCAAGGTCTGCAGAATGGTAGGATTAGCCCTCAGCCGCCATAGGAATTGCCCAATGAGCCCCTTCATTGCATCAGCCAAACTTCAACCAAACCTAGCTCAGACAAACTCCTAGGATTTGTACATGGCCCCATAGGAGTCTGACAACAGCCAACAGAATACATGTGCTTCCACAGGAACAGGGAGCTCAAGTTCGAAGCCCAAGAGAAGGTATAAACGCCCCTCACTCTCCACTCCCATTCCAGCTGGCCCAGAGAACCATGTGCTTGACAGTCCTGCTTCATCATTAAAACCATCCTTCCAATCGGCCTCCATGTTTCCGGTGTCTTTTTCCCACGGCTTGGAACTGAACCAGATGGATATTTCTTCCAAACACATGGCTGGCTAGGGAATTCTGGGAGTTGAAGTCCACGAGTCCTACCGTCGCCAAGGGAGGACACCCCTGATCTAATCCAAACTCAGATGTTTTTTGCCTCCAGATCTAAAAAGCATAAAAAAGCACGTCGAGGCATTTTTAATCCTTACCAGTCATTTTTCTCCGCTGCTGCTAACTTTTGATTACCGCGCAGCGCTGCTCTTCCAACGATGAGTAGTAAAAGCGTCTTCACACCGTTGGGTGGCTTCTTCTCAGCTGCCAATCTTGGCAATCTCTTCTCCAGAGTTTAATTTATCGCCCAAGAGGTGAGTCCAGGGTGTTGTAGCTACTCTTGGTACAAACGAAGCAGAATTTCCCAAAACTGCTCTGCAGAGAAAGGAGACAGAGAGACAAGAAGAAAAAGGCATACAGTATTCTGGCAATATTTGCTTCATAAATATCCAGTCAGACCAGGAATGGGGCTGGTGAGCTGCGTCCAGCGGATTGTTCCGCGCAAATCTATGAGTGTGCAAAGAGCTGTTTACTTAATAACTAAGTACAGACTTAAGGAGGGAAGGAGACGTATTTACGTCTCAGTGATTGGATGTCACCAAGCCAGTTCGTCTCCCTTTTGTGTACACAAACGGACGGTAGACACCCTGATGGAAACGCTTTTGAAGCCTGTATAGATTTGAAGCCGCCTGAGGTTTGAGGATCATGGGGCTTGTAGTCCAGCACAGGCATTGGGCTTCAGGTTTGCGAAGGCAGCTAGGAAAATAAGGTAGTCGTGATGGAAGGTCTATTATAAAAAGAGTGGAAGATGCAAGAATGGGAGGCAGACCCAGAAGAAGATAGAGAGGCAGTATCAAAGGCATACTATGACAGCATCAATTAACAATGGTTGAGGCTGGCTGAAGAGGAGGAGGAAGAAGGAGAAGGAGAGCAACAAATGATTTCTGCAGTAATTTGGTGGCAAACACTAGGAGGAGGAGGAGGAAGAAGAGGAGGAGGAAGAAGAGGAGGAGGAGAAGGAAGAAGAGGAGGAGGAGGAAGAAGAGGAGGAAGAAGAAGAGGAGGAGGAGGAAGAAGAGGAGGAGGAGGAAGAGGAGGAGGAGGAGGAAGAAGAGGAGGAGGAGAAGGAAGAAGAGGAGGAGGAGGAAGAAGAGGAGGAAGAAGAAGAGGAGGAGGAGGAAGAAGAGGAGGAGGAGGAAGAGGAGGAGGAGGAAGAAGAGGAGGAGGAGGAGGAAGAAGAGGAGGAGGAGGAAGAAGAGGAGGAAGAAGAAGAGGAGGAGGAGGAAGAAGAGGAGGAGGAGGAAGAGGAGGAGGAGGAGGAAGAAGAGGAGGAGGAGGAGGAAGAAGAGGAGGAGGAGGAAGAAGAGGAGNGAGTGATTGTGGGTGCACCGCGGTTCGCCCACATAACACCAATCCTCCGCGAGCTGCGCTGGCTACCTGTTGATCTACCTGAGAAACAGAAATTCTCACTTCTTCATAGTTTCTTTCCCTCTCTTAAGGTTAGTTAAATTAGAAGAACCTATTAATTACACAAAAATATTAGAAACCCAACTCAATTTTTTGTTAAAAAAAAAAAGAATCAATACTGTTTTTGGAGTTCCCACTTGTCACAGGGATTTGGGATTGGTCATGCTTCTTGCCCACGTAACTTCTACCTTTTTTCTTTTTCCCAAGCATTGTTTTAATGAATAAAAAATAAATAATTGGCAAGCTGGTATCTGATATTACAAATAAAAAGCCCAGTTTTTATTTGAAACAGTTGTCTCTCTCCCCTCACCCCAGGTAAAAGTACCAAGAGAAGCTGGGGAGCGGGGGTAGAGAAGGAAGGAACATTCTCGGGAATTTGATTCTGCTAATTCAATGTGGCAACCATTTTGTGAGAGGGCCCACAATCTGTGCTAAGGGTACATATTGATTGCTAGAGGTCTAGATTTAGACGTATAGATTTTTGGGTTGTGCCAAATCCAGGCACTTAGACGACAGAGTGGATTGCTGCATACAAAACTTTAAATTGTCTCTACAATGTTTTGTCCTATCCCTATTGGGAAAGAATGGTCTTGGTTTTAGGACTTTCTTCTTAGAATTTTACAAAGTTTTTCCATTAAAAAGAAATTTCCCAACCTCTAGAGCAGGGGTGTCATACTCAAGGTCTGGGGGCAGGATCTGGCCTGTGAGGTACTTAGATCTGGCCCACAGGCCTACCCTGGAAACAGCGAAGGACTGGCCTGTGGTGCCTCTGCCAGCAAAAACGGAGCTCGAGAGAGCTGCCGGCGGCCCTCCTGAACTCCATTTTTACTGCCAGAGTGTTGCAGATGGCCATTGCAGCCAAAATCAGAGATTGGGAGCCCGGTTTCACCAGCAAAGTGCTGTGGCTGACACAGGTGCCCCCCAACATGAGTGATGTCAAACACACACCATGCCCATGACCCCCCCCCCCCGGCAAGTTCAAACACAATCCTGATGTGGCCCTCAATGAAATCGAGTTTGACACCCCTGTTCTAGAGGTATTAGGCTGCAATTCTCGTCACCCCCCAGCAAGCATGGCTGAGCCCCAGGTTAAGCTAAGGCTATCCCTATTCCTCAGCTCCACTACAGCAACACCGAAGCTTCAAAATGACTTCGGATGACCAAGGCTACATTAATCCAAGGGTCCTTTTCCTCCATGAAGGTTAGATACAATTTGGAATACTGGTAGCAGAATGAAAGAAGAAAGGCTAATCATTTGTTTTAGGTTTTCTTTCATTTCAACATTTCCCCAGTTGTGCATGTATTTGTACTGCTTCCATTTTGATAGATCGTACCCATCTCTTGTTTGGCTGATGAGGTGACATTTAAATGACATTTTTACAATTCGTACTTAGAAGAAACCAGCTGCTTTTCAACTTTATTATGCTCGATCTTTTTCTTTCTCTTTTAATCCTTGCTCATAAATGTCATAAAATGAAATTTTAGAATTTCATTAAAACTACATTCTATGCTTAGGATGAGGATACATGAAGCAGTTTCTTTCTCATTAAATAATTCTTTAAGTTTGTAGTTATGCATTTTCAGATTTTTTTTATTTGCTGCTCCATACAATGTAAAATTAATTGCTGTGGGATTTGGAAAAGCTTTAAAGGAGATTTTTAAAATCTTGGGCAATAATCTCCCTGCTGATGCGTTAGGGAATGTTCCCCTTCTAGATCAAAGACCAACAAAGGCTAGTTTTTGAGTATGAGTGACATCGAGCTGGCCATGCTCTTTCTGGCCACGCCCACCCTGACTCCCCAAAGTCAAACACAACCCTGATGCGGCCCTCCATGAAATTGAGTTGGAGACCCCTGTTCTATTACACCATTCTGGCCATTCCCTTGCCCAGAGTGGGTGTGTTGGGGCAAGGTCATTGAATTACTCTCAAGGCACAAATTTCAATGGAGGTTCTCAGAAGACGTTGGCAGCCTGAGTTGCTGCCCTGGTCATCTTCGATCCAGAGACAATCCAATGTCAAGCAGAAGGGCAAAACAGAGGCCAAGCAAAGTCAAGGGGAGCCCACACTGTCTGGTCTGCCATTGTAAATGCTTCAGCCTGCTTCGCTTTGCTGGCATCCTGTCATAAAATGTGGTGAGGGGGGAGAATGGGGATGTAGGGAGGAGGGTTGACAGGATGACAGGAACCAGAGGTGTCAATCCAGAACTGACTGGCACATCCAAGGACATGAGTGTGAGAACGGAATGCCAAACTCCACCAAGGAGATGCCAAACTTTAAAGCTGTTACCAAAACCCCAGTTGTGAATACTAACGGGCACTTGTGGACTAGTCAAGGGGAGGGAAGATTGGAATGAAATAGTGGACAATTCCTTCATGCTGTGTTTGGAATTTCTGCAGCAACATGTAAGCCATGATTTGAAATGGGACGATTTCTGGGGCTTTGGAGGCCCTGCCAGCAGTAGCTCTGAGTTGACTTTTTAATGGCTTTGCTATTCTTTACAATCCGTACACCATGCTTCTTTCTTTATCTTTGAGGGGCTATAAGTTGAAAATTAAAAGATACTGTGCGGAATTGGGGTAGGGTGCCTTCTGAAATAGTGGGCCAGTTCAGAGCCCACCTTCCCTATGTTAGAAATATGCATAGCTCCTTAAACGACCTGCGAGCAGGCCGATCGGCTCCAGGCCCATCTGGTAAGAAACAAGCAGGTTTCTTTCTGCATAAAATGGGAATAAAAAAGGAGAGAGAACAGTGCATAAAAGTGCTCTTAATGGCAAAATAACCAATGCACATTTGCTTGCTTTTTTTAAAGGATCCACCCTCCTGAGTACTACAAGAAGAAATATAGTGTTAACGAAGTGCACTATACAGATGAGGTGAGTTTCCTACATTTCTAAGTTAAAACAATAATTGGGGATGGGTGGGAGGTAAGTAATTTTCAGGTTAATAACTGCAGGTTAAAGAGAATGAAAATGGTGGTCGGTTAATGACATACCTTGGACTGACATGACACAGAAGCACACACAGTGAGGAGAGAAGAGAGGACTGAGCCACCTCTGGCCAATTCTCAGTGTTTTGTTCCACGGACCCTGGCTGCTCTCTTACCTTCTCCTCCTCTCCATCTGCAGAATGGGGTTGCGAGGCCACAAGGACGGTTACTCAAACTTGTGCTGATTCCATCCACTCCCTTTCCAGGGAGGTTAGATCATCTGAGGCCTCCTTGTCTAAGACAATTCAGCGAGGTTCTGAGAGGCTTTGGCCCCAAGCGTTTATGGGATTGCCCTCCCCCTTTCTCCCCCTTCACAAGCTGGGATACTTTTTAAAAGCCAGAATGAAATGGCCATCAGTGGAATTTGCTTGTTGGGAAAGGAGAATTGAAGTCAGTGATTGGGAATGCGCAGGATACTCTGCTGTGGGATAGACAGAATATTCTAGAGAACAATGCAATGTTCTATCAAATGATACAACCAGTGGTGGGATTCAACTGGTTCGGGCGAACCAGTTGTTAAATTGCCTGCCGGCCCCACCCCTTCCAGACGCTCTGTTTTGGCTACCCAGATAAGTGCAGGGAGGCCTACTAGGCCAAAAACGGGGTGCAGGGGGGTGTGGTGCAGCATCCCCAGAGCCCATTTTTTCACCCAGGAGGCTGCAGGGAGGCCTACTAGGCCCAAAACAGGGTGCAGGGGAGAGGTGGGGGGCACCCTGGCCCGTTTTTGATCCCAGGGGAGTGCAGGAGGCTGAGTGCTGCTTGTCACACCTCCTGGCCATGCCCACCATGTCCACACCCACCCATCCAGTCATTAGGGCAGAGAACCACTTGTTAAATTATTTGAATCCCACCACTGGATACAACATTCTGCGTCATGCCAGTCTGGCCATTTTCAGGGTGTTCTGAACTTTTACAGAAACTCCCCAAATGGGAAGAAGCTTCCTGGGCTGGATTACTCCCAGCAGAGCTATAGCTCTGCCATTAGAACTTCATATCCCAGAAAACCCCAAAATTTTAGTTTTCTGGCAGCTCGAACCGAGCTAATCCGTTGGATTATCAGGGGCTTTGGAACTCAGCAGAAAGGAGAGATTAATTCTTCCGAAGTTGTCTGGCTGGGAAGTTGGCATCCTCAGGGCCTGCTCTGAAATATAGACTTCTGCCTAGAATTACATAGTAAAGGAACCTTGATCCTATACAGCCGTGTTTTCCCATCTTGGTAACTTTTAAGATGTAGGAACTACAACTCCCGCAGAATTCCCCAACCAGCAAGTGAACTTTACCATGCCGGCAGGGGAATTATGGAGTTGAAGTTCATGCATCTTAAAGTTGCCACGTTTGGAAAAGGCTGGTATAGAGTTTGGGATCCGACGGGAAATTTTTTATTCTGGATAATTCTTCCCTGTTTAATGCGGCTTTGGGATGTAAGGAATTACAATTCTGTTTAGTAGGGTTACATCTCCTTAAACAATCTGTGTGCCAAGCACATCCCACAGTCCTTGGCAGCTGCTTTTTTAAAGGGTTTGTTTTAATTCTTTTTTTTAAAAAAATTATACTATCCCTCCAATGACAATATTGTTTTTTCTATGTTGCTTGAATTCAATGGCCAAATAAAGACAGAGGTCTAGGAAAACCCCAAATATTGAAATAATTTAAAACATTTTTTTCTTGCCTTAAGAGCAAAGTATTGATTAATCTGCTCAGTTCAAATCCTCAGTCCTAATTTCAATGGGATAAGTTTCCTCCCTCCTAGAAAAGGACATGGGTGAGTGTTTTTGCCAGGCTTTTAATAGTTAAGGCTCCCTTCCTTCCTTCCTTCCTTCCTTCCTTCCTTCCTTCCTTCCATCCATCCATCCATCCATCCATCCATCCATCCATCCATCCATCCATCCATGGTGGCACAGGGGTTAGAATGCAGCATTACAGGCTGATTCTG